ATGAGTTTTCAACAAAAGCGACAACTGCAATAAAATGTGAAGAAGTAAAACATGTTTTTAAAAAGTGTTAAATTTTACAGAGACTGGGTTTACTTTCATTTTATTCACCTTAAGTGATTCATTTATTACTGGAGTGAAGGAATAGAAATAATGAAATGAGTTAAATTTGTCTAATAAAAGTAATGTACAAATAAATTTATTAAGAATTTTTCAAAAATAAGACGCTTATGACCAAAAATGCATAAATACTGTCAGGGCATGAGAGTGAATACTTATTCTGAGTCCCAACCATGCATCACACATATAGTACAGAATGTCAATTAGCACCATGGTATGCCTGTTATGGTTCTCTAGACTTTTTTCATGCTTTCGCAGCTGACATTCAAGATTTTTCAGTTTGCCGGAGAATGTTTTTTGTCATTTTCCCACTTTTATGTAGGTGTTGACCCTCTCTTTTAAATTAAGTCTCAGTCGGGATGTTTATTTTAGCATGATTTGTTAAGCACATTAATGTACTGAAATATTAATAAATTACAAATTAAAGTGATGAAGAAATTTGACATATTTACACAATCAAAATATCAGAATAACCATAATTCATCTAATAAAGTGCCCTGTTCTTCTTTTGTCACTTCCTATAAATTTTATCAGCAGTTTTTGTACACCCACCCACCTCCAAGAATCATGGAGGATGGCCTGATATTAGTTTCTTTGTTGCATTTATTCACATTCAAAAGTGTTAAGACCCATAAAAATGTTAAAGATTTATATTTTTAAATTTAAATGTTGAATTTTTATGTAAATTTGGTGAAACAAAAAGCTGTAATCTTGAATTAATCATGCAAATTCATCAAACAGCTTTGAAATTCCTGAGTAATTCAATGAAAAGAGGATAATTATGTATGTTCAACTGGAATTTCATGGCTAATTTGTGTCTGCAGAGAAAGCCAGTTACATAAATCACAACAATAAATTACATCTGAATTGTTTTCTCCATTTTCTTATCATCAAAGCAAGTTTAATGGAGTGTCAGAGCTGTCCAGAACCTCCCCAGATGCTGATATCATTTGGACTGCCCTGTGTTACAACACAGCTTTTAGATAAACTTCTGCATAGCAGGTTGTAGACAAGTACCTAGGCTTTATTTGGAACATAAAATGACCAGATGCAGATTTTATTATCAGCCTAATATTTAACAATTTCTGTAAATTCTGTCATTCTCAGGAGGGTAAAATGCAATTTTGTTATGTAATAATTGCATAATGGTCTCAGACTTGTGAATTATTTTTTGTTTGTTGTGAAGAACAGTGCATATACTCTCCACGGATGCAAAATTGGTTGCCAGGCTTAGTCTATTAAGGATGAAATTCTGCTTCAAAATATGCACAAAAACCTTCTGTCAGAGTGCTCAGTGTGTATTCTTGACTGCTCTGGAGTAAGGGAGATAAATGCATCATATCTCCAGCAATAATGGGAATTAGATCCCCAGACTTTAGGATGTTAGTGACAGTTATTTAAGAAATCTCAGGTGCAAAAATGAAAAAAATCTGACAACTTCAAAGGTCCTTCAAGGTATCACACCGGTAATTGACCAATCAAAATGAACTTAGTCAATTGTAGTTCCATACATAATAAATATTTTTTTTATTGTGAGAAATTTTTTAATTTTCCTTATTCTATTTTTACATTTTTGGTATCTGTACTTAGGATATTTTGTGTACTTTGTAAAATACTAAAGGTTTTTGACAGGAACTATTTCTTTCGGGGCATAGGAGGCCACTTCCTGGGGTGCACACAGGATGTTTATAAACACATTGAATACACGTGGTTTTGAGGGTATTCCTGTTTGCGGATGGAAAAAATCAGAAATGCCGTGTAGGTACCCTATTTTTTGGTGTCAGCTGATGTGACTGGTAACGTTTAACACTTCTTGCTAAATATTTTTTCATGAATTCGAATACCTGATTTTTAATGATTTTTTATTCTATATAGAATTACATTGTGAAAACAATTACCGGTGTGATACCTTGAAGTCATAGAAAGTTTGATACAAGAATATATTTTATTGCCTACTTCGATTTTTGTGTTGTCATTATTAAGAAAATTATTGCATTTATCTACGAACTTTATGGACAATCCAAAGGAATCCTAGGAACGACTCATCTTTTTTTAACATTTATTCTGAGAGTTAATGATGAATCAAAATCTCCAAATATTTTACCGACCACCAGGACTGGACTCTACTCGCCATGTTGAGCAAAATGTTGCATACAAATATTTTTAGCTCACCTGAGCCAAAGGCTCAAGTGAGCTTTTCTGATCAAAATTTGTCCGTTGTCTGTCGGCGTCGGCGTCGTCGGCGTCGTTGTTGTCGTAAACTTTTCACATTTTCATCTTCTTCTCAAGAACCACTGAGCCGATTTCAACCAAACTTGCCACAAAGTATCCTTGGGTGAAGGGGATTCAGGTTTGTTCAAATGAAGGGCCATGCCCTCTTTCAAGGGGAGATAATAAAGAATTAGTGAAAAATTAATAGCATCTTTTAAAAATCTTCTTGTCAAGAACAACAGAGCCAGGGAAGATGAAACTCATGTGGAAGCATTCTCAGGTAGTGTAGATTCAAGTTTGTTCAAATCATGACCCCCGGGGGTAGGGTGGGGCCACAATGGAGGATCAAAGTTTTACATAGAAATATATAGGAAAAACCTTTAAAAATCTTCTTCTCAAGAACAGCAAAGCCATGATGAGTCATATTTATATAGAAGCATGCTCAGGTAGTAAAAATTCAAATTTGTTCAAATCATGACCCCCGGGGGTAGGGCGGGGCCACAATGGAGGATCAAAGTTTTACATAGAAATATATAGGAAAAATCTTTAAAAATCTTCTTCTCAAGAACAGCAAAGCCCTAATTGGTCATATTTATATGAAAGCATCCTCAGGTAGTGTAGATTCAAGTTTGTTCAAATCATGACACCCGGGGGTAGGGCGGGGCCACAATTGAGGATCAAAGTTTTACATAGAAATAAATAGGAAAAACCTTTAAAAATCTTCTTCTCAAGAACAGCAAAGCCATGATGAGTCATATTTATATGGAAGCATCCTCAAGTAGTGAAGATTCAAGTTTGTTCAAATCATGACCCCCGAGGGTAGGGCAGGGCCACAATGGAGGATCAAAGTTTTACATAGAAATGTATAGGAAAAATCTTTAAAAAATCTTCTTCTCAAGAACAGCAAAGCCCTGATTAGTCATATTTATATGGAAGCATCCTCAGGTAGTAAAAATTCAAATTTGTTCAAATCATGACCCCCTGGGGTAGGGCGGGGCCACAATGGAGGATCAAAGTTTTACATAGAAATATATAGGAAAAATCTTTAAAAAATCTTCTTCTCAGGAACAGCAAAGCCTTGATTGGTCATATTTATGTGGAAGCATCCTCAGGTTGTAAAAATTCAAATTTGTTCAAATCATGACCCCTTGGTGTAGGGCGGGGCCACAATGGAGGATCAAAGTTTTACATAGAAATATATAGGAAAAATTTTAAAAATCTTCTTCTCAGGAACAGCAAAGCCCTGATTGATCATATTTATTTGGAAGTATCCTCAGGTTGTGTAAATTCAAGATTGTTCAAATCATGACCCCCTGGGGTAGGGCGGGGCCACAATGGAGGATCAAAGTCTTAAATAGAAATATATAGGTAAATATCTTCTGATGAAGAACTGTAAAGCCATGATTAGTCATTTTGATATGGAAGCATCCTCAGGTAGTGTAAATTCAAGTTTGTTAAAATGATGACCCCCCGGGGATAGGGATGGGCCACAATGGGGGGTCGAAAATTTTACATAGGAACATATAGGAAAATATCCTCTTCTCAAGAACTGAAAATCATGTTTAGTCATTTTGATATGGAAGCATCCTCAGATAGTGTAAATTCAAATTCGTTCAAATGATGACCCCTGGGGTAGGGTGGGGCCCAATGGGGGATTGAAAGTTTTACATAAGAACATGCAGAAAAAATATTTCTTCTCAAGAACAGAAAAGCTATGTTTAGTCATATTGAAATGGAAGCATCCTCAGGTAGTGTAGATTCAAATTTTCAAATATTGACCTCTGGGATAGGGAGGAGCCACAATGGGGGATCAAATTTTTACAAAGGATTATATGGGAAAAATTTTTCAAAATTTACTCAAGTACAACAAAGCCATTTGTTATATTGACATGGAAGCATCATCAGGTATCCCCCCCCTCCCCCCCCCCGTAACCTTTTCAATACTGAACTGATTTGTGCTTTTGTGCTTTTGCCTAGCCAATGTGCTCAGGTGAGCGATGTGGCCCATGGGCCTCTTGTTAAGTTAGTCCTAATGCGTTCAATGATTAAGAGAGAGAGAAGAAAACGTGTCAGAAATTCCCGGCAAAAAATCCAATATCTCAATATTATACAATATGTATATTAATTAGTATATTATATGCTCTTCAGTAGGTATTCGTTCTATGGAATTTCAAATGATCAATACACAGTTGTATATGCTCAGTGTGTGTTATTGCCCTCCCAGGTGCGCAAAAATGCGAATAATTAACAAAAAATCAATACAGTTTACTTAAATTTTATAATCAGAAATTACAGAAAGATTATCACTATAAAATAGAGGTGATGATGTAAAGATTATGTTATCAAAGGAAAACAATGTGGTTAATTTTTTTAAATTCAAAACAACCCTTCCATTTTGTGTAGACAGCTACAGATCTTAAGTGATTATATAACCCATGAGAAAGGGATGTAGAGCAGACAGACGTGTGTTTAATGCATGTTGTCTACAGAAACGTAACGAATGCAGCAACAGATGGAAGCAAATTGTTAGGTGTCAGTAGAATTCATATCTGTGGAGTTATAAACACATGGTGTACGTTATTAATTTGATGCTGAGTAACACATGCACGCTTTTGTCAAAGAGTTAAGACATATATAACAGATATTAGACCAATAACTAGGGAGCAGTCATTGAAATAAATGTATAGATGCAGAGATTCTATGACGTCTAAATGATCTATAGATCTTCATTGATTTTATAGATGTTGGTAAAAAATTGTCAGGTATCTCTGCATTGAAACTTTATCGGATATAGAGATTGAAACCTTGCTGAAATTCTTTTATCGGATGTTGTGATCTAAATATATAGATAATTGAATAATTGGGTACTCATTTAGATAATATTCCCTACTTTTCATGCCCCCAGCGAGTAGCTCTTTCCAATTGATTCATAAAACGATGGTTCTAAATGCTCGGTGGATTTTCTGTGTAATATCGCTGTATATCATGGGGATTTAAAACATCAGTGATGATGCATGTTTTTAAACAGACAGATATTTTATTGAAGGAAACTCAAGCATTTTTTGGAGGAACTCATGCTTAACATTTCACAACTTTTCTTTCCTGTGGGTGCACAACATTGGCTTATTTGAAACATCTTTACACCCTCTCAAGGTATGTTTCATGTGCAATGTTCACTACTAACGTCCATACTACATATCATCATATTTTAGAGGGACTTTTGGAAAGTTCAGAGAATTGTTTGATGGCAACCGATTAACTGCAATTATGCTTTATATATATATATATATATATATATATATATATATATATATATATATATATATATATATATATATATATATATATATATATATATATGTCTGTGTGTTAGGGTGTTTTGGTTTATGAGTATGTGTATGATTATTAGATTTGGTATTTTTATTATATTTATTTGCTTGAAGGAAAGAATTCAAAGATACTCAGATAAACTTCTAAACTTGATTGTCTATCAATGTGACATAAATTCATTTTGCATTCGAAATATTTTGATGCAAGACCACAAGAGGCGTATGTTTTCTTTTGTAAATAACTAGAAATGGAAACTCATGCAGAAAACAAATACCATAAGTTTAATGTTAAACTTGATCATGCATAAAAAATGTTATAAACAACATAAAAAACGTGAGAGAAGATAATTCATTATAGGTATATATCCCAAGAAGATTTATACATTTACATTCTAAGCACATTTTATTAATAAATTGTCCTTTGTTTAGTTTTGGTAGATTCGTAACACAATCCACTTATAACTACCCACTATCTTGCTTGCCAAAAAATGTAAACAATTAAAATAACAAGTTTCAGTTCCTCACTGGGTTTATTGAACTCTTCATTGAAATATACCGAGTTTCAAAGTAGATTTTGGTATTTCCGTACCAAATCCTCTAGTTTTGCCACACGTGTCTTTCCGGAGCTGTTTGCTCTTGTGCGTGATATCATAATTCTGAATATGAATTAATGATTTTGTGTTTTTAACTATCTTTTTCTTTTTTTTTATTTTGTAGATCTAATTATGGACAATATTACCCAGATATACTCCAATACTTCTTCAATACGATTTGCAAGCTTAGAAGAGGTCAATAGGTCAATAGCCATTTTACGTCTTCCGACGGTTATCTTTTTGATAATTTTGATAATCGTAGGACTAATTGGAAACACGACTGTACTTGTCATATATTCCCAGAAGTATCCACCCTCAACATTCCGATTGTACATTCTGACTTTAGCGGTGCTTGACTTGCTCTCTTGCTTGATTCCAATGCCATTGGAAATCGCCGACAATGTATACCCGATGATGTTTTACAGCGAGCCAATCTGTAAATATGGTCGTTTTTTAGGTAGTGTCCTTAAGATTGGATCTGCATTTGTTCTTGTTGTAATAGCAGCGAGCAGGTATAAGAGGATATGTCATCCATTTTCCAAGGCCACCAGCTTATTGCAGGCTCGTATTTGCTGTGCATTAGCGATAGTTCTTGCTATTGCATTTTCGTGGCCAAATGCAATCTTTCAAGGAATAAAACGTGTGTATTTTCCAGGGAATATTACTGGTTTTGATTGTTCTATTGATGACGCGGCTATAAACACCAAATATCCCTTTATCTATTCTGTTATACTTTTTGTTGTGTATGTAACGGTGTTTTTGTTATTAACTTCCTTGTACTCTCTTGTCATCGTGTCCCTCCGAAAACAAGCGAAAAAACAAAGAACTAAAAATCTCGGTGAAAGACTTGACAGAACAAACCCAAGAATTACGAAACTTATGATTGCAATCACAGCGGCATTTATATTGTGCTATTTACCAGACTGTGTAATGGATGCTGTGTCTGCCTTCAAGAGAGGACCCATTTTCCCACCAAGTCGCTTTATCTTGGGGACACTTCCTCTTTTAGCCAGAGCATTTTTCATCAACAATGTCATCAACCCTTTCATATATTTGATCGGAGAATCGAAATTCCGAGATATCGTAAAACAGTCATTCAGATGGATTTTCTACACCATCTGTTGTCGTACTCAAAAACGAATGAAGAGCTTCGCCATGGAAGAGTAATTTGCTTAACGGAAATATAATCTAACCACGACTTAAATGTTGATATTGATGTATATATGAAGTCATTGTGTTGCCCTAAATCATTTGTTATGCAGAAGGATATTGAGTGTGATGGTTCAAATGGTTATCTTTATTTCTTTTTAAGGAATATGAATGATTTACTTGCTTTTATACTTATACGACTAAATAACCTGTGCACAGAAGGTTTGGAGATGTCAATCAATTGATGAAATACTCCTTAAGTCATTTTTTTTTAGCATTTTTAGAAAAAGTTCATTTATGAATCTACGTTGAGTTTTGATGCGTATGCCCCCGTAATCAAAGATTCGAGGGCATATAGTTTTTGGTCTGTCCGTCTGTCTGTCTGTTAATCAGTCTGTTTGTCCGCAAAAACTTTAACCTTGGCCATAATTTTTGAATGGTTGGTGCTAGGGCTTTAATATCTATATGTGTATGCCTTTTGACAAGACCTTTCTTTGGATACAAATATATTTGAGCTTTTGGCCTTGACCTTGGAGTTTTTCTTTTGCAAAATCTAACCAAACTTTAACCTTGATCATAACTTTTGAACGAAAACCTAGGGCTTTTATATTTCACATGTATACTTCTTGTGATAAAACCTTTCCCTAGGTACAAATATATTTGACCTTGACAGTGGAGTTTGACGTACTAACCTTGGGTATAACTTTTGAAAAGTGGGTGATATGACTTTCATATATCACATATGTATTCCTTGTGACAAGATATTCTTTTGATACTAACATTTTTGACCTCATGACCTTGGAGTCTGACCTACATTTGAAAAAAAAACCTTTAACCTTGATTTAAGTTTTTGAACGGGTGCTCACGGCTTTCGTATTTTACTCATGCATTCCTTGTGACAAGACCTTTCCATTGGTACCATTATTTTATTACGTCATGCCATTAACCTTCGAATATGACACTATAACCTTGGCCATATTTTCTTAATGGGCAGTAAAAGGCTATTATTTTTTCACGTGATAGTGGTTCATGTTTCATACTATTTGTAAGGCCATTATTCAAAATCTCTCATTCTACACTCAAGTTCACCGAAGTTGATATGGAAAGTTGGTTGGAGTTCCTCAATGACATCTTTTATGTAGTCTTTGGAGACCAGGTCTTCCAACAATCTGTTGGAATTCTCCAATAGGCACTAATTGTGTTCCTTTATTAACCGACCTGTTTTTATATTCCTGTGAAGCAGAATGTATTCGAAAACTTCTACATGAAAAGAAGAAAACACTCTCAGTGACCTTCAACTCGACATTCAGATATATCGATAACGCATATTGTTATCAATTTACAATAGTTACTTCCATTCATATGTCGATTCGATATATCTCAGTGAAATCGAAATAAAGACACTACAGAGTCTGCCACATCTTTTTCATATTTGGATGTTTTACCGACTAAAGACGATTAGAGCCAATTATATAACAACAACACTGTTTGACAAACGAGATGATTTCAACTTTTCCATCGTAAACTTTCCTTATTTATGTAATATTTTGTTATCACCTGCATATGGGATTTACGTCTCCAAGCTTAATTGATACTCAAGAACATACTCTGAGTACAATCAATTTTTAAAACGAGGCAAGCTACTGAGAGATAAGTTGATGCTAAAGGGATTTCAACAACCTCGTTTAAAGTCAGTAGTCGTAAACTCTATGGTCGTTATAATGTTCTTGTTGACAAATATATACTATCATTGGTCGTATTTTGGTTGACATGTTTCATACCAATTGTTAGGCGTTTATTTTTATACTAATATGACTATGGGTTATTTTCGTCTACCTGATCAATCAACAGGGCGACAGGGTATAGAACATTTTCGGAATCTCAGACACCCGACAGTTGACTTCAGACAGCGGACTTTTCACGTAAGGGAACGTGTCTAAAAGTGAATAATATAAATAAATTTTGTAGTCTTGATTAATTGTACTCGATAATCACATTTCGTTCTTATTTGTATGATTAACACTACTCTACATTGTAGAAGTGTATACATGCACGTGGTATTGAGGGAGATGAGGTCTGCACCAACTTTTCCTAAAATAATGATTTGCCCCCTTTCCCGAGAGATTATTTGAATGTTTCATTCCAGTGGCACCATTTTCCCAACAACAAATAGAAAGCAGGAATCTCCAAGAACTAAGAAAATGTAAAGGACTTGCATTTTGATATAGATACCCTAATGAGCGCATGATCTTTAAATAAGAAAAAAAATCTGTCAAAGTAAGTTATGGCGTCACTGTAAAATATATTATATAATAAATTTTGTTTAAGGAATTGTTTGTGGACATACATTTAATTTAAAGAAAAAAGTACTTTCTCGGGAAATAATAACTTTGGACAATAACATATTATCAGTGTCTTGAACGTGAGTAACATCACATACAGCTTATTTCGTACTCCACATATCATGTGCTGATCCAGATATTTTAAGGGGGGGGGGCACAAGCACTGGGCTTTGACATATAACTACTGATTTTAAAACTATATTTCATAAACATGTTACACCTAAGAAAATAACGACTGAACAATTACATCCATGTTGGAATAGCCGGGAAAAGTGTGATGTAAATTAGTCAGGATTCCTATGTGGGATCTGAGGCCACCTGCTTGAGGTTTCCACTGGGTGCAGGGAAATTTTTAATTTGAAGCCTTCTGGGGGTCCAGGAAGTTTTCTTCATTCTTGGATTTTGAAAGACAGACTTTTTAATATAAACGTATAAACATTATTGCATCGATGTATTTTAATAAAGAATTTGTAACTACATCATGACCATGATTAAAATACAATTTAAATTATCGAGGTAATAACATGAAACTTTTAATTCAATATAAATGTACATGTATATATACAAGAATTCATGTTCATCCAAGAAATGGTTTAATTTTAAAATATGCTAAACATAATTCAGAATTTTTGCACGTACTTGTAAGTGTTATCTATATCAAGTATTTTATCTTTTAAAAATGGAGAGGGAATCTTTCTTAATTGTTTACTTTCATTAAATTTTGAGTTTTTAAAGTCGCTCAATAAAGTCAGCTTAGCAATGTACTTTTGGATTTTTCAAATCAAATTTTGCAAATTTTAATTCCTCATTCTGACTTTTTTTCAAAATTATTTTCTTTTTTCATATCCGATTTTTTTTACAAAAAAAAAAATCCAAAAAAAAAAAAAAAAAATAAAAAAAATAAAAAAAATTATTAGTTTCTATTTTAGCTTAACCGTCGAGAGAAATCAAAAATTTTGAATGTCTTCATTGTGCTGAAGAAGATAAATCAAATATGAAGTTTTATTATTGTCTGTTGCGTCTTAAATTCCAATAACATGTATACAGTCACAGCTCTCTCTCTCTCTCTTTTTTTTTTTACCCTTTCTTATGTTTTTTTCGTGTCAAACCTCATTTATTATTTTTTATTTCTTCCAAAATCAAAGGGAGGGGGGTTGCATTTCCCGTTACCCATCTGAATCCGCCATTGCATATGATGTAAAGATACACATATTTAAAGATATATATGGCGTATCTGAACTAAAATTAAAAATACCTGATTGAGTGTAGATAAACATGATATATGTTGTTTACGATCAAATTAAGATTTTTACTGATTTTGAACTTAAACCTCATGTTTCCATAGTCAAATTGATTTTAAACTGTATGTTAATTAAATGCGGGGTCGGTAAATAAATCGGTTAATTATTGTTTTAAATTAATAATATCTATGAAACGCGATTGATTTAAATTGTGTGATTTACAGGAAAGTCCTCTCTTTATATAAAGTAATAAAATAAATAGATCTTTTTAATTTAAGTTAGTCTGAACTTATAAAAAAAAAAACGCCATATATGACTTTAATTATGATCAATTAATGTGGCAGTTTAGTTGTTTGTAAAATTTTGTTTGTAAAAAAAAACTATTTTTAATCTCTACCAATCTCTACAGTTCTGACCTATTTAATTGTTTTCAATTTATTCTTTTTAATAGATGTCAGAGATAATGAAAGAAAATTCTCAGGTAAATGTTAAAACGTATTTGTATACGCTCCCCGTAAGTTGTCTTTTGTTCGCAAGTCTTCTGTCCGTAGTGCGATGTCAGGTGTCTGAGATTCCGAAAATGTTCATATGCCCTCCTAGGCACCTGATGATCCGTCTTCTGGAATCTCGAGGGGGGGGGTTATGCCTTGTTTAAAGATTTGTTTTGTTTTTAGATTTTTTTTAGATCAATCAATGTTCGCGATCGTTATTTTAATCTTTTTCATTGCTTTTATACTAAATTTTACTTTGTGTTACCACGTCTATCTGATCAATACACTGGGCTCACGGCAGATATGACCAGTTTACGACAGGGGATGCTACTCCTCCTAGACACCTTCCCAAATTGTTGCTTAAGTCCATGTTACAATGATTGCTAAGCTATGATGCCCCAATCGCTTAACTATAACGTCACAGCCTATGACACTGTGTTAAGAAAAGACAGAGGCAAACGGAAATCAAAGAAAATGTAATAAACAGAAAATTCAATTTTTTGTAGTTGGATATGGAATTTATTTTACTTGTGAAACAGGATTTTTTGATATTTTCGCTCGTGCTTCGCACTCTTTAAAATATATATATATATAAAAAAATCCTGTCCCATTCGTGAAATAAATTCCATATCCAACTACAAAACAAACATTGAATATCCTCTATTTATCCAACTTTAATATAAAAACAAAGGGTTTCTGGATTGGAAAACCACTAACTGTGCTCAATGGGTATCTCCTGCAAATAAATATATCTGGCCCTGCGCTCCACAGATACTGCTGCTACCTAGCACTCCTCCCCTCCCAACCTTTGTGGTATGTCACCTCTCTTCTTATTAACCAATTGCCTTATACAGGTCTTGCGTGTAAGCTAATAATGTAACTTGAACTGACTATCCATCGCGACTGTATACCTTATTAAAGTCTAAGTGGATAAACAGCCAAGGTTTAATGATTCCGTCACTAGAGATGTTCCTGCGCTCACTATAATGCCGTGCAGTTCTAGTATCTTGGCAGTTTCGATCTTCTTAAATGATCGTAGAATTAATGATTTTTAGTGTTTAAGAAATTCAATAAAATCTATGTCCAACGTTTTATACGAAACTTAATGATAAAACCAAATTCCGTTTCACACGGTGTTTGTGTATGACCTACGGACATTAAAATAAACTCCCTATAAAACCCAGAAATGAATAGGTTCTCTGTTCAAGTGAAGAATTGATATGTAACATGTCGATCATTCGGTCGTTGATATCGTATATTTTATAAATGTTTTTACCACTTATTTTCTCAAAACTAATATCTTTCTAGAAAAAAGGTTTTTGAAGGATCAAGAACCTTGGAAGATAATTAATCTGCTCATCATTGATTCAGTGAAATCGTTAACGATGGCCTCGCCAGTAATGCGTCTACGTAGGAAAACGCTTATTCAAAACCTCATTAATTCAATAAATGCAGAGTGCATGAAATAATATTCAATAATAGTAACTTGATATTTTATCAGGTGTTCCATTTTAAGGTGTACATCCTCTGTAGTCAATATTTTGAGAGTGTGATATTGTTAGTTACTTAGTAGTCCAACTCCTTTATATTTTATGTGTTTTTGAAATAGTCCTACTTTGTTTTAGTTCAACTTCAACCTTGGTGACATCAGCAAAAAGATTACAAATTCCAGATTCTTAACAGTCATTTTCTTCGATAACTAATTAATTAAACCTAAAAAAGAACCTAAAATAATTTAAACTTAACCAAAAATGAATTTGATTCGAAAATTTCAGTTAAGTACAAAGTTTATGTTATTAAAAAAATCAAAAAGGTCTCTACCGATTTACAGGTATTAAAGCACAAAAAAGTCAATGATTATTAAAGGGGCCTGAACACATTGTTTACATTTTAAATTTTTATGTTTATTAAAAAATAACTTCAGTTTAATAATTTGAACTTACATGTCCTAGAATTCAATGAAAACGCATTCTACTTTATATCACATCATACATCTGTATTTATAAACAGGGCACGAGCTCTGTATTGTAAATGCTTTCTGAATTATAGTTTTAATATTTTTCATTAATACACAACAAAATTTCTACTCTTCTTAACTAATCAGGATAAAGTTTACTTCGCGAAAGTGTCAGGATATGTGTCAAATGCGTATCGAAATTTGTAGCTTTAATAATCTATAGAAAAAAGACATTTCCCAACATGCTTTTGTTATAATGCTCTAGTAACATATAAGTCATTATATTACACTGGAAATTTGAGAAAATATTAATTTAACTTCAAATCTATGTCCAAGCCCCTTTAAATACTGGTACATGTAGTAGCAAAAATATTTACAAAACTGAAA